AAAGGAAACTCACAAATCACACACTCTGGGCAATGGGACAACTGGCAGAAAGACAAAAGTAAAACAACTGCCTCTCTACCTTTCACAGCCTTCCTCAGCTGACACCACTGCAGTTTGCTGCTGAATTGCATCAGCTAAGCCTGCAGTTTCTCTAACCAACCTCTTTCTGCAGTCCCTCATGGCAGAAGGAAGTGGGGCAGCTGAGACTGCGACAGCGCTGCAAGGCAAAGCTCAATGAACTGAAGTGGGCATGGGGAGCAGGCAGACATTTCAGGTGGCAGCCCTGGGTACATCCTACTTGGGCAGTCCCTTGCAACAGAGGAGCAAGGGTAGGAAGCAGTCACTGTGGCACTTGAAATAAAGACAGAAATTCTCAGGCACAACAGCTGATGTTCGATCATTCAATTTTTCACAAACTACAGATGTCAACAGTATGATTTTTGCTGTCAATATCAATTTGGAAAGTGCTATTGATAATGTGCCAGTACAGCTCGATAACATTTGAATCTACAGACCGAATCTGCACTGAAATCCTTACTTTGTTTTTGTTCAATTCAAACAGACTGCCAAGGGCCTCTCTGTAGGAGCAGGCCAGGCAAACACATAGGGCAGCTGAACTACAGAAACCCAGTGTCTCTTTGCCTTGGTGGGTCAGCCAAGAAGCTTTTATGGTGCTTTGAACGTCTTCCTCCCTGTATGGGTCAGCAGTGTTATTTTGGGATGGACTTATATCTCACGAAGATGTCCAAGGGGAGGGAAGTAGTACGACCCTGAAAGCTCTTCTAGATCCCATCAGGAACTGGGCGCAGACCCAAAACAGAGCCAGGAGAAACTGGTCCTATTTCTATGAGAAATACCTGCCTTTTTTGATATGCAGCCATGTAGAAGATTTCCTTTTTCATTTTTATCCTGAAAATAGAAATGGAGCAGTTAATGGGAGAAGAGAAAGACCATGAATATAACAAGCTGAGTAAAAAGTTTCTCTGCAAATAACAGTTTAACATCACTAAGAAGTTAGGTTAAAATGGTCTCAAAGTCTAAAATTAGTTACATTTTAAACTAACAGCATATGCTTTTATTGTCTCTGATCTAAAATATAATCCCAGGAGGCTGTGAAAAGCATGCAAATTACAGAAAGCTAATTTGCTCCAGCAGCGACACCTCCCCTGTAGTTGGGAGGTCTATTAGGCCTGGCGTACTCGCCATTATTTGCATATTAATAGCACCTGCTGAAATACTTTGGGATTTACTTCCCTTGCCAGCAGAGGGACAAAACAAAACAACAACAAAAAAATCATATAAAATTCCTTTCATATGGCTTTGATGAACAATAAACTATTTAGACAGAGCTAAGAATGCCAAATTAGTGAGAGGCGACAGGGTGGCATTGTAGATGCCATCTGTGATTCTCAGAGAAACCGGACTGCAAATTTGCTAACAAAGAAAAGCCACCAAAAAAAAAAACCCCTACTGAAAAAAAAAACCAAACCAACAAACCCACCACCAAGAAAGCCCTCTCTGGAAAGTGCTGGGCAATGTGCAAGCACTCACTTGGCTCAGGTTTGAAGAATGGAAAAGTTTAACTAAAGAAATCCAGACACTGTAGCAGGGAAAAAAAAAAAGAAAAAAAGACACCATGAAAAAATCCCCACACATCCCCAACCACCGAAAGTAGAGCCCCCAAAGTGGACCTTGATTAAAAACCTACAAACCCCAGGCTTTGATACTAGCCAGGCCTGCGAGGCCCTGTCCCTTGCACATAAAACAAGAAATAAATTAAAACCAGTCACAGCCTGAGATTTACTTAATAAGCCAGCTTCCAACCTCTGCTTGTGACCACTGCTTCCCCTGCTGGCCCCCTGGCTATAAAAAAACCCCTTCTATGCTTCTGTATCTCATCTTCCTCGGGTGGGGATCACAGCAGCTGCTTCTCTAGCAGGACCCTGCATGTTGGAGAATGGAGCCCCAGCCCAGAGAGACCCCGTGGTCCCTCCCTGTGCCCAGTGCCCTTGCTCCACGTGGGGCAAAAAGGATGCTCCCAAGCAGCACGTTGTTGTTGGCCTCTTGTCTCCCCACACAGACAGAGCTCCACATATCTTCAGCTCTGTGCAGTCAAATGAGACCTATGAAAAACTTGCTCAGTGTCAATTATAATTACCAAAGGAGGCAATCAAACATTACAGCAACAGGGACCCCTGAAATGCTTAAGACAGGCAACTCCCACCATGGCTGTCAACAAATGCTAATTCTCATTAATGTATATGTAGCTCTTAAATGCTGCAGTGGTGCTAGCTATTAGTATTAGCTAGTAGATAATTAGTAGCAAGCAGTAGAACTGGTTAAAGTTACAGAATGGAAAGCATCTGCCCCACCACAGCCCTCCCAAGACTGTGCTGGAAGGAAGGGAAGGAGTGTGGGGAGCAGGGGGGGGTCTGCCCTGGGTCTGGGAATCTGGGGCACCTGCCAGCACTCTGCCAGGTGCTGCCCCAGCCCTATGGGAAGGAGCTTTCCAAACATGAAAATCCATGTATTTGTAATGACAGCAATAAACAAAACAACAAAAACTACCCCGAAAAGCATAAGCCCAGGCCTTTACCTATGATAACAAATTGAATTGGATATTCCTTACCTGAAGTTTCATGACTAATTAGCAAACACAATTATCCACAAATGCATGTATGTCCTGTTATCCTTGTAGCCATTTCAGCGGCCCCTTGCAAGCCTGCAGCTTGTGATCAGGCAGCTCTATCAGCCCCCAAAACACAGCTTTTGCCTTTCCCCCCGTGACCCTTTTTTTTTTTTCTTTTCTTTTTCCCCCAAAAGTTCATGGCAGCCGATGTTTTACCACCTGCAAATCGGGGGAGAAGAAAAGCAAGGGGGAGAGGATCAAAATACACAGTATTCAGCAAGAGCGTGTTGTGGTGCGGGGAGCTGTGAGGTGTTTGCATTGTCTGTGAGGGGATCCATAGTGGCACTGCGGCTGGAGAAATAATGGCAGATCAGGGGACTGCCTTCGGCGGCAAACTTTCATCTGCTAAGTTACAATTATGTTGTAGGAAATGCTACCCCAGACTGCAACTAATTTGTGAATCCCAGAAAGGCAGATCGCTGATTCCTCATCAGGGCTGCAGAACCTGATCTATAAAAATTTGGGGCTCAGCAGGAGGTGGTGTGTGAGTGTGATTTGCATTTCAATTCTTAGTCCACCACAACCTTTAAATCTTCCCGCAGCACTATCACAATGGAAATTTTTGTTCACAGTGTGCTCAAAATACATATTAAAAAAAAAAGAACAAAAATCCTAGAACAATGGAAGTCAGTTGTTAATGGGAAAGAATGCTCAAATTGTTTCACAAAACACCATTACATCAGAGTCTTTCATCATTTTATGGGGGATCAAATTCCCTGACACCATCTTCAGGGACTCCATGTGGCGCTCACCACTATCATTCCACTGCCACAAACACCACAGCCCTTTCAATTTTTATCTGCCCAGAACCCAGAATATGTTACATTATTTAGTTTTTGTAAGAAGCTTTTCCCTGTGAAGAGTTCACAACAAATAAAAAGGCATTTCCCTGAGAAAACAAGCTTGTGAATGTCGGGTAGGGGGGATTTGGGGCAAGCCCCATGGCAGGAGGTGAGAGAAGCTTCGCATCCTTCCTGCTGTCTGATGGCACGGTTCCATCAGGGCTGGCAACGGTGGCATGGCGCTCACACAGTTCCCCAAAACCTTGATGGGTCAGACCAGGAAACCTGTATTCACACTGAAAATTAGTTATTTGTAGTAATAGGGAGGCTTCCCAGCGCTGCCACAGAACCAGCAATCAAGTGTGCAGAGAGAGGTAAAAAAAAAATCTACTCCTGGCTCCATCTGCCAAGGAAATATTCCACATCAGACGCTCTCAGCCTTGGAACCCAGTGCCAACAAAGCCAAGACTCGATGCCTTTCCTGTGTGTTTGTGAAGCCAATGGAGACAGGCACTTTGAGAGGAAGCCAGGACGCAGAGCTGTCTGTGGGCCACAGGCAATGAGTATTCACATTCTGGCAGAGCTCCGACACCTCTCCTTCCTGGACGTGGAGCCATCTTTGGGCTTAAAAAGGCACACATGACCGTGAACTCAAATTTACATCTATTTTGGCAATTTGATATCTGTTTTCCTATGTGTGGAGTTTTATTGCCACTTACTCAGATATGGCTGATCTCAGCAGGCTGTTCTCAGGACATGCTCTCCAGCTGATTGAATTTCCAAGCTCCAAACCTTACAGCCCAAGTAAAGGGTGTAGGATTTTGTCTATTGGCAAAAGGAGAACATCAAATAATAGACCCCAATACACTTCCGTGTTCTTTCTGCTTTTCCTACTCATGGAGTTGGTAGGAGTTCAGCAGCTACATGCCTTTATGAAAGGCATTTTATCTACCCATCTAATAGAGGCATTTTCATTCCCTTGCTGTGATTTGCTGTGTTGGGACCTGGCAATTTGCTTTATTGCATATTAATTCATGCTGGCATTTGTAGGATCCCAGCACTTTCCCTGTGAACTTTCCTACAAGTTGCTCCCCTAAGAAAAGCAAATCTCTACCATGAAGGGTACAGCTCTTCTTGAAACACTCTTGGTGCACAGTTCCATAAGGAAGAGGCCAAAGTTTGGATAAGTCCCTCCCACTTCTCAGTCACTGCAGTATTCAGAGCCATCTATGAGGGCAAATTCTGCACCCCGAGGTCTGACAAGTCCTTGATTCTCCCAGGGTTTCTGAGTCCAAATCCTTACTTACTATTAGAGATATTTGCTTGTACTCCACTGAGTGTCAGAGCCCAGTCAGAGTATGTGAAGCTGGAAAAAGAAGCCTGATCCTGAAGGTCCTGCTCAAAAACCAAACAAAACCAAACAAAACAAGACTCATAGAAAGCAAGGGAAGATTGTCCAATGCAGGAAGTACGACTTTATTTTCTTTAAGGACACAGCCTTGCTATCAGCACAGAAAGCATTCAGCAGTATAGATCACACCAACTGCTCTTTGGTGTAACATCTCTGGCATTCAAAACATACAACTTCTGTGTTTGTACTACATTTCTCTCACAGCTTACATCGAGGCCAAACAGACAGCATTTTGCAAAGGTCTTCTAAAATAAGCTTATTTAAAAGAGCAAGGTCAATGCCCAACATATGTCAGATTCTGTGAGTAGAAATCAAAGAGTTAGGAGCAAATGGAATGTGTCAGAACTCAGTGGTTTTCCACGCCAGGCTCTTCTTCCATGTTCACGTTCCTGCAGCAAAAAAAAACCAACAACAAAACACAACAAAACAGTATCAATCCCATCATATGGACTTCAGCTTTGGAAAAGTGCCTAAAAACATCCTCCCAGTGCCCATGCATAAGCTGGTTAGCTCAATAAATAAAACTAATGCATAGATCAGTGTTTGGTTGGACACGCTATTTATTGTCTATACAACTGTATTTTTCTTTCAATGGGACAGATGCAGATTCCATGTGTCGGCCCTAGGCTCTATTAAAAACAGTTTAAAAACATCAGTAATGTATTAAATTCCGCTTATAATGTGTCCAATTAAAGGAAAAAGAACATTAAAATAGGAAAAAAAAAAAAAAAGTATTAATGGGATTTCAGAATTATTTAAAAAACATTCTGCTCCATTTTTATCTTTGCAAAAAAGGGCAATTTTTTACATAAAAGAGGAAAACTTTTTCTCTGTTCAGATAATGTAATTTGGCCTGGTCTCTTTAACCATGCCTTGCAGAACAAAATCTGTGATTTCAGTTAAAATACATTATTGTGACTTCAGCCTCCTATTTTTGTACTTTAAATTGATTGTAATGGCTGTGCCTTTGGTGGCTTGTGTCTCACCATGCATCTCTGTCACTTAGAGCACCTCTCACTATTGCTTTTCCAAATAACCACCACTGGATAATCACCTCTTCTCCTTTCTCCCAACTTTACTGCTCATTTCCCTCTGTATTTGCAAGCTCGTGCAGCCTGCAGACTGTTTGCTCTGTAATGCCTTTAACATTTGGCTGTTGCACTGGCACACCACAGTCAGGAATTTAAAGGAAGGATAAAAGCTGCCTGAAAAATGCCAAGCCAAGAGCTCTACAGGTAGGATTGTTTCTACCCCTGGCCCGTTTTCCTTGCTGCAACCTGACTGAGGAAAGAAAGGTGAGAAAGGAGGAGTGGGGTGTGACTGGAATTCCTCCAGCTGCACGCTGATGGCTCAGAACCTGTCAGTGCTGCGCAGCACAGGGCTGCATTCAACTGGGCCCTGCTGCTTGATAGAATCATAGAATGGCTTGGATTGGAAGAGACCAAAAAGTTTAATTGTAACCCCCTACCTTGGGCAGTGTTGCCAACCACTAAATAAGGCAGTGGATCAGATTCCCAAGGGCCCCATAAAACCTGTCCTTGGACACCTCCAGAGATGGGGCATATACAACCTCTCTGGGCAGCCAGTGTCAGCACCTCATCACCCTCAGTCGAAAATTTCCCCAACATCTAATCTAAATCTTCCTCTTTTTAGTTTAAAAGCATTCTCCTTTGTACTATCACTATCTACCCATGTAAAAGCTGATCTCCCTTTCTTCTTATAAACTCCCTTTGAGTACTGGAACTGGACTACCAGATCTTTCCTGAACCTTCTCTTCTCCAGGTTGAATGAGCTCATAATGTCTTCATGAGAGAGAGGTTGCAGCTCTCTTCTGCATGCAGTACTCCAGATGAGACCTCACGCAGGCAGAGTAGAGGGGGACAATCCTCTCTCTCTCCTGGCTGTCCATCCCTCCTGTGATGCAGCCCAGGACATGGTTGACTTCCAGCTGCAAGCACACACTGCTGGCTCATGTCTCCCAGTCTGTACACATATCTGAGATTGCCCTGACCCAAGTGCAATAGCATGCACTTAATTCTGTTGAACCTCATTAGGTTCTCATAGGCCCACTTCTCAAACTTGTCCAGTTCCTTTGGATGGCATTCACTCCTTCTACTGTATCAACTGCAACACTCAGCTTGGTGTCATCTGTAAACTTGATAAGGGTGCACTCAATCCCTTCATCTATTTCACTGATAAAGATGCTCAAGAATAGCAGTCCCAAGATGGACCCCTTGAGTCACTGGCCTCCACCTGGACAGAAAGCCATTGACCACAACCCTCTGCTTGCGACCTACCAGGCAATTCCTTATCCACTGAATGATCTACCCATTTTTCTTCAATTTAAAGATAAAGAAGTGGTGGGGGATCATGTCAAAGACCTTGCAGAAGTCTATGCAAATGCTATAAATTGTCCTTCCCTTCCACTGATGCCATCATTCCACCATAGAAGTTCACCAGATTGGTCAGGCAAGATCTGCCCTTGGTGAAACAACGCTGACCATATCAGATCACCTGCTCATCTCTCATGTGCCTTAACATATCTTCTAGGAGAATCTGCTCACTGATCTTCTCAGGTAGAGAGGCAAAGCTCACTGGCCTGTAGTTCCCCAGGTCTTTCTTTCTTACAAATGGGCATGATGTTTCCCTTTTTCCAGTCATGACTTTTCAAATATAACAGAGAGTGGCTTAACAAGCACATCAGTCAGTTCCTTCAAGATTCTGGGATGCAGGTCATTGGGCCCCATGGACTTACACACATTCAATCTCATAAGGCAGTCTCAGACTTGATTTTCTCTTACAATAGAGGGATTTTGCTCCCCTGACCCCATCTAAGTGTTTGGGGATGCAAGGTTCAAGCTTGTGAGAGACAGAAGAAACCTCAATGCCAGAGAAGACTGAAGCAAATAACTTTTTTAGTACTTCAGCCTTCTCCATGTTGTAGCCAGTTTCCCCTTCTCATTTATTAGGGGGTACCTGTAAAATCTCTTCCTGTTAATTTTCATGTCCCTCACCAAGCGCAGTTCCATCTGTGCCTTTGCTTTCTTGATCCCACCTGTGCACATCCAGACAGCATCCCTGTATTCCTCCCGGGTGATGCATCACTGTTTCCTTTGCTTGCACATGCCCTTCTTCTTCAGTTTGACTGGCAGGTCCTTGCTGAGTCCTGCCAGTTTCCTGCCTCCTTTGCTTCCTGACAGCACTTGCAGGATGGAGGCTGCCCCAGACAAACCTGTTCAGGAAGGCAATGTTTCCATGGAAGACTTTGCACCAAAAAGGAGCCATCAGCAGAATGCTCAATGGCTCTGGCTGAAAATTACAACTGGATTTGCTAATGGCATCACAATCCTCTCAAATCCCAGAATGCACATGGTGACATGTAGACACCATAAAGCTTTTTCCTTCTGATGGGACGATCCTTTCTCCTTTGCTTTGCATAGATCTGGTTATTAACTGAAGAATTATTTACCTGGCATAACCATTCTATGCCATACATAGATGTGTTAAACTAAATACACTTCTGTGATTCCATCTATCCAAGCATCTACACTGACTGTGTTGTGAGAAAAAAAAACAACACCCTAAGCAGTGATATTAGGAAGGATCTCTTTATGTACATTTATGAGATCTGCCACCAGGTGACTCCATTCTAAAATATCCATATTTTTGTAAAACAAAATGCTATTACTTTCATGCAAGATGAGCATCATAATAATCTCTCCCTCCCGCCCCCTCCAACCGACCCCCCAATTCCAGTAAGATTTATCACTCTGAAGAAATGTTATTAAATAGATAGGACTCTAACTTAAGACATGAAGATTCTTTTTTGTTGGTTTTTTTTTTTTGTTGTTTTGTTTTTTTTTACTAGCACATAAAAATGTATTAGAGTGAGGGATTTCCAGAACAGCCTGATCTGTTCCTGTCTAATCAGACCTGATTAATTCAAATCAAGCTGCAATCCTCCGTTTTATTTTGCTTTACAAACTCAAGATCAACAACAAATCAGCAGTATGGAGCTATCACAGGCAGTTAACACGAGAAGCCTACAGATGCTGAGTCTCATGGAGTCAAATGGATATGATTAAACATTTGGAATCATTTATTAATATTTTATATATTCAAATATATGCAGAGCAGATAGGACCTATTAGAGGGCTGCTCTTCATAGGGGACTCTATTATTTTTATGCCTTAGAACAGGGGATCCATCTCAGGTGTCACAGGATTTTTCTTCAAAATATAAAAATTATTAACAAATAACAGGGTTATGTGGGAGGATTTGTAAGTAACACCAAGCTGCACCAAACCACGCAATGATCTCCGCTGATAATCAAAGCACTGGTGAGATATTTAGCGCAGCAGAATAAATAAGGTGAGACAAAATACAACAATCTCACAAATCCAAGGTTGCAAATGCAAAATAGATTGCCCATTCAAGAAGTATTTCAGAGATTTACCGAGGCATTATTTCCGTGGAACACAGATGTAGAGAGGCTCTCAGCCTGACCAATTTAATCCACATCAGACAAGGGAGACATAGGGTCAGGAGGCTGAACATGGATTTGGGCGCTTGGCACAGCTGTTTTCCTTAGGTGCAATACACTTGTCACTAGTGGTGGCACTTTGCATTTGCTGTATGGCAGCATATGCGCTTGCCACATTTGGGACCCATTATATCTCTTTACCCTCCAGCCACTTCCCTTCCCTTCTTGTTAGCTGCATGTCCATATATTCTTCCATACTCTTTCACTACATTGCAGTGCCAGCTCTTTGCCCCCTGCTTGCTCCACTGACTGCACACACCGCCAGCATGCATTACAAGCTTCCCATATTACACCCAGCTGCAGGCAGGGGTTCCATTTTTATATAAATTGCAGAATGTATACATTCATATATGCACGTGTACCCACACAAACACAGTCATTCTGTAAGGCATCACATTTATTCCATCAATGAAATACTTACCTACTGAGAAACATTTTTTGCTATCAGAAAGACTGCATATAGAAAAGTTGAGGAATAACCAAGGAAATCTTTCAAAGCATAGCACAAATCCGATCTAGAAGCAAAGGTGAAAAAAAAGGGAGGGGACAGAATATATGTTCACATTTCAGCCTCTGCAATTACAACCATAGTTACTGCAACAGCACAGACCAATTAGTGCATGTTGATATACCAGCTTTCAGATAAGGCATGTACAAAAAAGGCAGTTAAATGTTTCCGCTTGCTTTGTACACAGTGACACAGACAGGACTGACTGCAGGACTCAATTTTGTTCTCTGCTGGGTCATTGCATATGACAACAACAGTTAAAAGAAATTTGGCTGATATCTTATTTGGAGGGGCTGAGCTGCCACCTTCTCCATTTTCCCACTCCAGATTTATAGAGTTTCCTGCCATGGCACTGGGACACTGTTTCAAAGGAAGAAGGCTCTGATCTGGACAGATGAGCTCACCTGGGCAAGATCCTGTGCAAGGAGTGCGTGAGCCTAGCAGGGTGGAACCCCTGGTGGTGTGGGTGTGCAGCCAGAAAGATCACGAGCATCACATAAAAACCCTTGCACTCTTTTAGAATCATAGAATCACAGAATAGTTTGACTTGGATGGGACCCTTAAAGGTCATCTAGTCCAACTCCTCTGCAATGAACAGAGACACCTACAGCCAGATCAGAGTGCTCAGAGCTTCATCCAGCCTGATTCTGAATAGAGTTAAAGACTAGAATAGAATCACCGAGGTTGGAAAAAGCCTCAAAGATCATCTAGTCCAATCACTCACCTGTCACCAATATCTCCTACTAAACTACATCCCCAAGTACAACATATGAACATTTCTAGAATACCAGGAACAGTGACTCAATCACCTCCCTGAGCAGCCTATTCCAGTGCCTGACTCCTCTTTCTAAGAAGAAATTATTCCTAATATCCAAACTGAGCCTCCCCTTGTGCAACTTGAGGCCATTCCCTCTCATCCTGTCTCTAGTTACACAGGAGAAGAGGTTGACTACTACTTCACGACAATCTCCTTTCAGGTTGTTATAGTGATAAGGTCTCCCCAGAGCCAGTGTCTCCAGAGATGGATCATCCACCACTTCTCTGGGCAATCTGTGCCAGTGCCTCACCACCCTTACTGTAAAAAATGCCTCCCTTATCTAAACCTCCCGTTCCAGTTTGAACCCATTTCCCCTTGTCCTATCACAACATACCCTTCTACAGAGTCTGTCTTCTTTCTTACAAAACATCTTACAGAACATTATAAAGAACATTAAAAATGCAGCAGGCTCTGATTCCAGTCCTCATACCTGAAACTATGTCCTTGATGACCAGTGTTCAGCTCAGGCCAGATCTGCCCCTTGTCCCACTGCAAACCAGAACACTCCAGGGTTTGAGGACTTCACACACAGATGCACAGATGGGAGTTGTTGTGTTGGAGGCACCTCTCGGAAAAACAATCCATATTCAGCTTTTCTCTCCACAAAAACAAGCAAGTGTAGAATCAAAGTTTTCAGTTCATAATATAGACTCAAACTCTATTTGAAAGAGAAAAAAATACAGATTGCTCAGATTTGGTCTGTTTGTGTTTTCATTAAAGCTATCCTCAAGTGTTTTCTAAAATCTCACCCTAAGGAAGAAATCACAACAAGCCATTAGTGACCAAGTTATTTTTGTATGGGGGGGAGGACACGGGTGAGTGATTGAGCCCGTGTCACACAAAAAGTAGCTGCTGGCAACTCTATCCTTCTGTGCATTGCGATGTTTCCAGACCTTACATCCCTTCTCCCATATGTTAGCACACGGAAGGAGAAGGCTTAGGAAGGATGTCAAAACATCAGGGAGTACCTGGTCTCCTCTTTGAGGTGACAATTTGTAAATCACCATGGGGAGGCAGCTTGCTCACTTTTTTCTGTGCAGTTTTGAGGGATTTCATTGGAGAGACAGAGACCAGCTGCAGAGCAATGGGAGGTGGGTTTCCATCAGTGCCTGTTGCTGTAGATGAGGAGGTTGTTTCACCTTCCAGTGCAAGTGATGCAAATGAAAATCCAGAGCTGGGGCTGGACAGATGAGAGACTGGAAAATGCCTGTCTGTTTTAATGTAAATAGTTCCAATATGCACATACATTTCATGCCATCTCACCGCTCTTACAAATGCCAGGAATGTTAAGTAGGTGGAGGCCCCTCTCAGCACTGACGTGCTCGTGGCTTACAGCAGCACTCCCCAGGCACAGCTCTTGGGCTGGACAACCGCACAATGGCAAAACTTTCCTGGTTGAGGCCATCTTGGCAGAGCTAGAGGGCTGGCAGCATTTGCCACAGGCACTGTACAGGTCCCAACCGCATGGGAGTTGGGCAAGGAGGCTGAGCTCTCCTCTCTGGACTTTGCATGCGAGCCATGTTGTCTTCTATCTCCTAAGCACAAATTTTAGGTTAATTTTAATCAGCAGTGCCCAGCCGTGTGACAAAGTAGCCCTTCAGGAACAAAACTTGAAAACTCCTTGCTGAGGAGTCTGGTGGTAAAGCCACCACCTGTCATCTGGGTCAGAGTTTTATCAGACATCAGGATCAGGAGGGAACAAGCACTTGTACTTTTTGATGGCCAGCTGCACTGCTTGGAGAGAGGAGCCGATTCAGGCTGCCAGTATTGGCTCTCACGCAGATAATAAACTAGACTGCCCTTTCTCCTGACATCACACTTCAGTCAAAAACTTTCCCTCAAAATGTCACTTTCAAAGTTGCAGCTTTAAAAAAAAAAAAAAAAAAGTCTTTATAAAAAATTCATGGCCACAATGATCTGATAATGCAGCTTTCTGATACCAGCAGATGTTTTGTCTAACATGTTCCCTGAAGCTGTACTCTGTGCCTTCATATCTTTCATTTCCAGTTGCTATCTGCTGACTGTGGGATGTCATGTACGTACCCTATAGCGATGCGCAGCAATTCGCATCTAACACCGCCGTGCGTAATGAGCTTCACAAGATGCTTGTCGCAATAACTCCGCACTTCCCCAACCATATGGAACACAACACTCCAAAGCCCACAGACACTTTTTTTTATTACAGTTCAGATCCTTAAAACATAATCTGTGTGATGTCTAGTGAATGTACGTGAAGAGCTGCTGAAAACAAAGTTAACACTTGTTCACATCATCTGTTACAAATGTCCAATTTGGGACAATAAATTTCCTCGGAACCTGTTCTTTTGCTGACTCGTTGCTTTATCTTTTTTCTCTTTCTCTCATGTCGTTTTTTTTTATGAACTATGCATATGTATTAAATGGGATTTGTTATCCCTAGATACCAATTTGCATAAAGTGCAAGCCATCATTGGTTGGAGAGAAGCAAATTACTTCTCCAGCAAGATCACACTTCTTTTTTTCTTTTTTTTCCTTTTTTTTTTTTTTAATTTTAACAAACCGCAGGCAGAGACTGTTAACAGCACTTAGCCAGATATGCAAAGTATCACTTTTCTCAAAAGCAGCTTGATCAATGAGAAAAAAAAAAAAAAGAAGAAGAAGAAGGAAGGGAGGGCATTATTCAGTTAAGTACAATGCAGGAATGACCCAAGACCAAGGCAGCTAACCCAGCCATCACCTGTAACTTGATCTGCCAGAATCCAAATGCAATACAATTCAAGTGTGGCTTGGCAGCCAGGACACAGAGCTAAATGCAATGCCTGAGCAGAGCCTCCCAGCCTTTTCCAAGTGTGCATAGTGCATTTCCAGAAGTCTCAGGCTTGCTCGGCAATATTACACATCGCTCAGTTCCCTGGCATAAGCCTTCCTTTCTCACTCACATCCCTACCCATTTATTCACACTGGAGATCTGGAGAACTGTGCAAACACTGGCCTGAAATACCTTTAACAGTGCAGGGAGGCTCTCCTCTGCCCTTCCCAATTTGACCGGCTTCTGGTGCCAGTGGTCCTCTGCAGGATGGCTGCCATCCTGGCTGGCTTTGGGCAATCATTGCCTCCCTTTTTTCCTAATTCTCCTCATCATACACACCTGTGTTGGCAAGAGCCTGAACGTTAACAATGGAACAGATCCCCAGGTCTGAACTAGCTCCCTATAATATCTGCACTTTCAGGGAGAAAGATAGAGAAAAGGGCAAAATGACAGTGACAGGATGTTACCAACACTTCAGGAACCAAATTACCCGAGCAAATCTGTGACGCTCATATGATGTAAAATCTCACCAGCCTGCTGTTAAAAGATCATGTACCATGAGACGCGCAGTTGAAACACGTGGGATATTACATTCAAAGGAAGAGAATAAAATCAGCATGGACGTCGAGCTGCAAAGTTTCAAACTTGAGTGGGGTCTTCTCAAGGATTCAGCCCTGGGACATTGAGGTGCTGCAGAGGAGTCCTCTCAAAACATCAGCTTTGATTCTGCTGAGATCTCTAAATATGACTGTAGGACCTGTCTCAATAAACAAGCACTCACAATTCCATCCCAAATCCATCAGTATCATGTGCTTGGATTATTTTACCTCTGAATTTTATGGACAGACGATAGTCTTTTTTAAGAATGGTTCCTGAGATCACAGAGGGCATTAGTAATTCCCTGTAGAAAGAGCACAATTAATGAGGACAGTGGTGCTGCCTAGGTGCTGAGGTGCCTTTCAGGGAACTGTGGTAGCCAAAAGAACAAGTTAGAAGCCAGGGTCCCCTAATTCTCAAGAGGGAACCTGTATTTCCTTGCTACCTTTATCCAACGACACACAAACAGCTACAGATTTTATGCTGTGTGACAATTTGGAGGTGGAAAAAATAGTTTCCGTCTGCAGAAATATTGGCATCTTCTTGCGGCTTTTGCAAAAAGGCAAAAATCTCACAATTTCACACATCTCTACTATTAAAGTATGCTGCTTTGTTTCCATATTTATCTTTGTCACATTTAAAAGGAATGAAATAGGATTTCAGAGAAGACCCTCACTTGCAAATGATCACAAAAGAACAAAAAAGTCACACAGAGATTACGAGAACTCACAAGAGGGAATTAAGTGACAGTTTTGGAAGTGGG